CTCTGGACTCGCTCAATTGTATTAATGTCCGATATGCAGTGCGGATTGGAGCTCACCCTAAACACTATTTCAAGTGTGCACACATGGAAAAAAGTTAAGCTTTAGGAACGCTATCCCATCCTTTTGTGGAAAACGGCAGCTCTTCACACACATATGGAAAGTGCACAAATATTCTCACACTGGACAAAAGACAACTGAAATTAGAAAGGAGACTCAAAAACAAATCACTTTTTGACAAAGACTTTCTCTCTCTCTCTCTCTCTTTGCTTTTCTCTTAATAAAAATCATCCAATATAAACAGCAGAGCTCAGCGTTATTCTGGAAAAAAAAATCTACCCATACTGAAATAAATGCTGTGTAATACACAATACAAGGGACGCGATGGCTCAGTGGCTGAGCGTGTCAATCGAAAGATCAGTAGTTCAGCGGTTCGAATCCCTAGCGGCATGTAATGGGGTGAGCTCCCGTTACTTGTCCCAGCTTCTCCCAACCTAGTAGTTCGAAAGCATGTAAAAAATGCAAAAATAGGGACCGCCTTTGGTGGGAAGGTAACAGCGTTCCGTGCACTTTTGGTGTTGAGTCATGCAAGCCACATGACCACAGAGACGTCTTCGGACAGCGCTGGCTCTTTGGTTTTGAAACGGCGATGAGCACTGCCCCCTAGAGTCGGGAACAACTAGCACACATGTGCGAAGGGAACCTTTACCTTTACCTTAATACACAATACCAGGGTGGATTTGATTTAAATCGAGTTGATTTAAATCACAATTTAAATCATGATTTAAATCACTAGTAAAAAGGCTTGATTTAAATCAACTCGATTTAAATCATAATTTTTAAAGAGCAACTGTCATCTCTGCTACTCCTTTGACCCACTGTTGACTCACCGATAGTCCCAGTGTTGCAGAATATACAGCCTCCTGCTACAGAACTAAGCTCCGTTTCATGCTGAATAAACTAAATTATTTATGTATCTTAAATAGAAAACTGTCTTACGATAGATTTTTACCCCAAAAGTTTTTTATTAAAATAAATTCGATAAAAATCAAAAAAATCCGATTTAAATCAAAAAAATCCGATTTAAATCAAAAAAATCTGATTTTTTTGATTTTTTTAAAAAAATCATTGATTTTCATCCACCCTGCCCAATACAGAGTGGCACACAACCATTTCAGTGATCGGATTTGCCTTTCTTGGGCACAACATGTGTGAACAAGTATTAGCACATGGAAGACCCTAAACAAGGAAATGAAGTTGTTTCATCAAAGTTGTAAAGGACCTTTTCCATCCAAGCAACAGTTCCCAAGTCCTCAACCCCCACAACAACAACAAGAATAAACAAGAGCCAAGCATTGGAACCAGCTGAGTGGGAAAAATGCCCAAACTGCTTCTCTTCCCAGTTAATCCATCCTGGTTCAGCTGCCTGCTGCTTGCCAAACCACCAACAGACTCTCAGAGCCAAAAAGCAGCTTACGAACACCGTGGAAGAGGAAAAAACCCGATAAACAACAATTCAAAAAAAGTTGCGGAGACCGTAGAAAGAGTGCAGAGAAGAGCAACAAAAATGATAAAGGGTGAGTAGGCTAAATTGTATGATGAACGGTTGAGGGAGCTAGTTTATCAAAGAGCAAGACGAGGGACATGATCAGGGGTGAAATCCAGCAGGGTTCTGACAGGTTCTGCAGAACCGGTAGCGGAAATTCGGAGTCGTTCGGAGAACTGGCACAATCCACCTCTGGGTGGGGATGGAGATTCTGCAATATCCTTTCCCCTGGAGTGGGGTGGGAATGGAGATTTTGCAGTATCCTTCCCCTGCCACGCCCAACAAACCAGACCACACCCACCAAGCCACGCCCACAGAACCGGTAGTAAAAAAAATTGAATTTCACCAATGGACATGATGGCAGCCTTTCGGTACTTGAGGGGCTATCACAGAGAAGAGGTGATCCACCAGAGCAGGGGTCTCCAACCTTGGCCACTTTAAGACCTGTGGACTTCAAATCCCAGAATTCCTCGGCCAGCTTTGCTTTGCTGGCCGAGGAATTCTGGGAGTTGAAGTCCACAGGTCTTAAAGTCGCCAAGGCTGGAGACCTCTGAACCAGAGGACAGAACAAGAAGCAATGGATGGAACCTAATCAAGGAGAGATCCGAACCTAGAACTAAGAAGGAATTTCCTGACAGTGAGAACTGTCACTGGACAGTGGAACAGTTTGCCTCCAGAAATTATGGATGCTCCATCACTGGAGGTTTTTAAGAAGAAATTGGATAGCCATTAGTCCAGAATAGTGTAAAGGTCTCTTGCTTGAGTAGGGGGTTGGATTAGAAGACTTCCAAGGTCTCCTTCAACCTGTTATTCTATGTTCTAACTAACAGCCTCTGTCCAACACTTTTAACCACTGAGGGTCCTTCCAAGCATAGGAAAAAATTGTGTTGGCTTTAGGACAGGGGTCTCCAACCTTGGCAACTTTAAGACTTGTGGACTGCCAACTCCCAGAATTCCTCAGCCAGCATGTGCACTTGCCTACTTATTTTCTCTGTAGATAATATCCCCTAGGAGATGGGATGGGAGGGGGACATTCCTGTGGGTTGAGGTCAGAAGCTGAGGAGACTGACTTGGAAGATGGCCAATGAGAAGATGAGAATTGGGGAACGGAAAGGGAAGGGTTTGGGGGTCAGAGGGTTAGTATCGGTTACGACAAAGTCGGGGCCAGATCTGTCACACTCAAATAAATGGAATATTTCAGCAAAGATTAATTGTATGGGAGTGCAATTTATTTGAGATGACATCGAAACCTGACAGTGCCATTGCCCAAAACAAAGTTCTTTTCTCTTCTGCCCACCTGCACCAAAAGAGACATGCAGGCCTCCTGACCACAGTTCAGCCATTGGCGAGATGACTCTCCACCAAGTCCCATCTCCCAAGTCAAAATAACGGCAGAGACATCCTTGAGTTGAGTTGCTCCTGGTGACGATAAGTTGGTGGAGGTTTCTCAGTCAACAAGTACCAAAATGATTGGGGCTGGCTTTCCTCCAGCATGTTCTCGCGCTTAATTTCCCAATCTAGCCTCCACCTTTGAGATTCCTTGGCGTCTCTCATTCAAGAACTAATCAAGCCTGATAGTTCAGTTTCCAAGCCCAGAAAACTTCAGAGAGAGGTTCTGAAACCTGCTGAGGCCTGCCTGCCATTCGCCAGCAGTGGGAACGCCAGGGGGATCACAAGCCAAGTTTTCCATTGGAAATGGCTAATCCATCACACTACAACATCATATTGCACAAAGGATACCGCTAAGGTTGAGTTGTTTCTAAAGCAGGGGTGAAATTCAGCAGGTTCTGACAGGTTCTGCAGAACCGCTAGCGGAAATTTTGAGTAGTTCGGAGAACCGGCAAATGCCCCCTCTGGCTGGCCCCAGAGTGGGGTGGGAACGGGGATTTTGCAGTATCCTTCCCCCAGGAGTGGGGAGGGAATGGGGATTTTGCAGTATCCTTCCCTTGCCACGCTCATAGAACCGGTAGTAAAAAAATGCACGAAAGGAGCTCCCGATAGCAAAATCAAGGGAAGCTATTGATGGTGAAGGAACTCTAAGTTAGCGTACATGTTTCCCTGAGAGCATATCATGGACTCTTCTTAATGAAAAATAATCCTAGAGTAAGCAGGATCATATTTCTGGAGCTGAGGGAGAAAGCAGAGCCACTTCCACACCATTTCTGCACAATTTGCTTTCTTGAAGCTCCAGTCCTTGAGAAACTACTGAAGTCCTCAGGAGAAGCTGGGCTACAAACTCCTGTGGGTTTCTGTCGGTATGAATGTATGAGAGAAATGAACAAAATAAATAAAAAAAGAGGAAGTGCCTCTGTCTCCCCTAGTCCATCTTGAAAAAAATGGCTGGTTTTCTTTCTTTTTTTTTTTTTATTGAAAAGTTTTACAAAGAAGAAATACAAAAAAATTTTTCCCCCATGTTCCCCCCACCCTTTCCCCCCCTTCATCCCCCCTCCCCCCCAGACTTCCCAGAGCAAAATACAAGGTATTTCATTTAATCAATCATAAAATAGATTAATCTACTTATCCTCAAAGTACTAACTCCCCCCCTGAAACCTTAACTCCACTATAGATAACCTAATACTTCTAATACTAGCATTCATTTATAAGCTATTTGATATTTTCTTGTCTGATACTTATTTTGAATATAATCAATCCATCTTCTCCATTCCGATACATATCTTTCTTGCGTGTGGTCCTTCAAGTACGCTGAGATTTTCGCCATTTCTGCTAGGTTTATTACTTTCAATATCCACTCTTCAATAATAGGCAAAGAGTCTTTCTTCCAATATTGAGCTACCAGCAGTCTAGCTGCTGATATTAAGTTCAAAATCAATTTAGTCTCTGAAACTGTACAGTCCATAGTTATACCCAATAGAAACGATTGAGGAGTAAATTTCAACCTTCTTTTCAAAATGTTCTGCACCACCCACCAAATTTTTATCCAAAATGCCTTGATTTTCTTACAAGTCCACCATATATGATAATAGGTTGCATCATTACATTCACATCTCCAACATTTAGCTTGCAAATTCGAGTACATACATGATAATTTTTTTAGGATCTAAGTGCCATCTGTAAAACATTTTATAAAAATTCTCTCTCAAATTTTGTGCTTGCGTAAATTTAACATTTCTGACCCAAATCTTTTCTGAAAAATGGGATGGGTTGAGGGTACAATCAGGCCTCCTCTGCTCTCTTACGCGTATCATGGGTAAGATCACGTAATGCTGTGATTTTGCAGCATCCTTTCCCTGGAGTGGGGTGGGAATGGGGATTTTGCAGTATCCTTCCCCTGCCACACCACACCACGCCCACCAAGCCACGCCCACAGAACCGGTAGTAAAAAAAATTGAATTTCACCACTGTCCTAAAGTTACCTGTGGGAAAAAGAACCTGAGCACGTAGCTAGATAGGTGATTTAGTCTTTCACTTTCACTTTCACTTTCACTTATAAACTCACCTGTCCACTTGCAATCGCAGCTGCCCAGGGCTCTGCTTGATCTTGTTCTGGGCCTCCACGTTCAGCATCTCAGAAGTATTCTCCCCATTGATGGAAATTATGACATCTCCAGGTCGAAGGTCACCTAAGGCTGCTTTGCCATGCTCTATCACCTGCGGGTAGCACAAAGCAAAGAAAGCTACAATTGAAATGCGGAAAATACATTCCTATTTTCTTAACCATATCAAAGGCAGAATGTTAAGGACGATATCGTATTTTCCAATAGCCCAGTGTTGCTCAACCTTAGCGACTTTATGACATGTGGACTTTAAGACTGAGCCTTGGTGGCGCAGCAGACTAAAGTACTGTTGAGTAACACCAGCTGCCTGCAATTACTGCGAGTTCGAATCTTACCAGGCTCAAGATTGACTCAGCCTTCCATCCTTCCGAGGTCGGTAAAATGAGGACCCGGATTGTGGGGGCAATAAGCTGACTTTGTATAAAAAAAAAGAACACCGCTTAGGGGGGCCCGAAAGCCCTACTAAGCAGATATATACAAAAGTATGAAGGCTATTGCTTAACGCATTGTAAGCCACCCTGAGTTTCCGGAGAAGGGCGGCATATAAATCGAACCAATAAATAAATAAATTCACTTTTTTTTTAACCAAACATGTCCCTCTCCAGCATCCAAAACAAGGATAACCCTCCTCCAGTATCCAGACAAGGTTCTGTACTAAGTATTTCTCAGGATTAATTAGTAAGTAAAGGTAAAGGTTCCCCTCGCACATATGTGCTAGTCGTTCCCGACTCTAGGGGGCGGTGCTCATCTCTGTTTCAAAGCTGAAGAGCCAGCGCTGTCCGAAGACGTCTCCGTGGTCATGTGGCCGGCATGACTCAACGCCAAAGGCGCACGGAACGCTGTTACCTTCCCACCAAAGGTGGTCCCTATTTTTCTACTTGCATTTTTTACGTGCTTTCGAACTGCTAGGTTGGCAGAAGCTGGGACAAGTAACAGGAGCTCACCCCGTTACGCGGCACTAGGGATTCGAACCCCTGAACTGCCGACCTTTTGATCGACAAGCTCAGCCTCTTAGCCACTACATCCCTTTATTAATTAGTAGTATGGGCTAAATTAAGTCCTTCAAGAGTCTGTCAATGAGGACTCAATCATCCAGACTCAATCATCTAATTTTGTTAACAAAGATTGGTCCAGTTGCCATAAATCAACCTTTAGATTCCTTCAAGAGTCTGTCCAGTTGAACATATTAATGGCTTGGCCAACATTATGTTTAATTATAAATGCTAATTCTTTCTGACTGACTCCCTCCAAAAATGTCTGACTAAACGAAACCTAATTTTGTGAAGCTTCTTCTCGGTAACAATTGTATTGCTAACTAGGGCCTACAAAACCTTTGCCAGACCAATTCTCAAATACAGCTCATCTGCATGGAATCCATACTGTATATCGGACATTAATACGATACTTCACAAGAAGAGTACTCCACTCCTCTACTCAACAATAGAATTCCCTATGCCACCAGACTTGAAATTTTGGGCTTGGACAATCTGGAACTGCGCCGTCTGCGGTATGATCTAAGCACAGCACACAAAATTATCGGCTACAATCTTGCCTGTCAATGACTTCTTCAGCTTCAACCTCAATAATACAAGGGCAAACAATTGGTTACAAACTCAAGGTAAAGCGCTCCAAACTCGATTGCAGAAAATACGACTTCAGCAACAGAGTGGTCAACGCCTGGAATGCTCGACCTGAGTCCGTTGTTACATCCTCAAACCCCCACAGCTTCAACCTTAAAACTGTCTACCGTAGACCTCACCCCATTCCTAAGAGGTCCGTAAAGGGGGCGTGCATAAGCGCACCAGCGTGCCTACCATCCCAGGATGGGTTCTACTTATCTTTACCACCGGTTCGCATACGCAGATTGCTGATGACAACATCCGGGGTGATAGGCAGGGCCTCCTGCCGGTTTTACTACCGGTTCTTACGAACCGGTCCGAACCGGGGGCAACCCACCCCTGCTACCGTCCCTGTCCTACAGTCCCCATGTATTTGTATTCATTTCTTTCGTTCATATCCATGTTTATATTTATATCTGCTATCTTGTACATGTTTGACAAACTAATAAATACAAAATTTGCAAAGTCTAAAACAAGAGCTCCTTTTGAAGGACTACTTATTCCTCCTGGCAACGGGCATTTTTTTTTCTTCTCCTCTACATTCCCCAGCAACATAAGGAGAAACTAGTAGGCCATGCATTCATATCTGGAACCGAGAATGTGGTGCCCATATGTGCATGGCCTCTGGCTTGAAAATTCTGGGAGCTGTAGCACATCAAGGGGAGACTAGATTGGGCTTCACACAAAGCGGCTCTGTTCCTTAATATAGAGTCCAAGATCAGCCTTCAAGCCAGAAAGGGAAAAATTTAATCGCCAGGTCAAGTGGACTGGGGTGAATCAGACTTAACCCGACTGATCTCCATAGACAAAGAGCATTTCGGAGACAACAGAGAGCAGGAAATACAAAAGGTTTTGTTGTTGTTTTTTAAAGTGCGGTCTCCTCTCTCTTTACTGGTTTTCTAGACGCATAATTGTGCAAGCAGAAGCAGACTGTGCAAAACCGTGGGTTAAAACGCAGAGTTTTCGTCCTTCCAACAACTGTAATCTCAGGCACCACAAGGGAAGGGAGGTGGCAGGAAAAGCACAATTTCTCAAATCACCCCAGGCATGTAAAGAAGCCCTTGCCATCCGTAGCAGAAAAATGAAGAGACTACAACCAACCAGTTTTTTTTTTTTTATACTGCTTTTGTTTAATTTACAAACTCAAGGAAAGGGCAGAAAGAATTAGCTTGAGGAATGGGAGAGGATCACATCCAAGAAAATGGTCAGATAAAGGAAACCGGAGTTTGGGCCAGAACTTCAACCCAAGAAAGCATCTCAGATAAAAACCCTCCCTAGTTCTCACAAAGATAGGAGGGGGGGAGGCACATTCAGACTTACAAGATTCCATTATTTTTCCTTATAATAAAAGCAGTACTAGCAGGCAGGGTGTTGTGGCTCCATTACCTGAGCCTGTGTCATCAGCAGGAGAGGACTCCGAGAGTGAAGGAGAGGAGTTGCCAAGGCCTCCCTCTCCAGCACCCTCCTCTCTGGCAATGCCTTCGTTGTCCGCTGAAGGGCAAGAGATAGGGCCGGGGCCAAGCACGTCCATGCAGCCACAGATGGACAGTGATGAGGGTAATGAGTCTTGGCTGGATCCACGCCAGCGTCGCAGAGGTAGGCTCTGGAGGCTGGAAACGGGCTTGTTTTCAGAGTTCCAGAACTTCCAGAGGGCCCATTTTTCCTTCTCCCTGCTCCTCTATGTGGGCCCTGCACTTATCTTGCATCCAAAATGGGCCGCATGGAGACTTCTGGGAGGGGTGTGGGGAGGGGGGAGGGGCGGGGCCAGCCAGGGCTGGGATTTGGCGGTTCACTGAACCGGCCATAACGTTAGTTATGGGTCCCGCCGAACCCGGGCAAACCCATAGCAGCCCACCCTTGTTTCACACATCAGCTTAAGCCATGGAATTGTGGTTTGCAAACTCTGCCAACTATGCTATAAATAGAAGCCATGATTTCCAACTATTAATGGCTGGAACTACACAACATATTAAGCCCCAACTAAATACGCTGTCTTATGCATGATCATGATATGTAAACCAAATGTGTATGTTGTTAAAGCAAAAAATAATAATGATAGAACTAGTGAGTGCAAATGTTGTGGTGTCGTTACCCACAGACCTAGATTTTGGTTCGAAATCGCAGTTGGAAGCTGTAGCGAGCCTTCATCCAAGACAGGGCTGTCATATTCTCTCCAACCAACAACATTCTTTTGCTAGGAGCTCTGCATGGAATTTCCTACCGAGAGGTGAACGAGAAGAGCTTGACTAGCTTGGCAGTTCCTGCACTGAATGTTTGTGGGATTTGTGCAGGACATCCTGGAATGCTGTACATTTCTTGTGTCTCCAAGGATTCCAAATTATGTTGGGCCAAAAGATTTGTCAGAGAGGTCTATTCAGCTGGCGTTGAGCCAAGTGTGACCTTGCAGGCTAATGGAGAGAACAGATCCTGTTCATCATCCTTTAAACGAGAAGTCCTCTTCTGGAATGGTCTCAAAGTGAGGGTATGCACGCAAGAGGAGTTTCAGAGATTTCTTTCTCTGTTTTGTTCGAAGCTCTCTTGATCAATCCCAAAGCAAGACTGAGAAAGGACCATAGAGCAGATGTGCTGCCTTAGTTGGTCTACTAATACTAATACTGGGTGCATACCCTCAAATTTAACACCTTGTACCTTTTTATTAAGGGACACGGTGATTCAGTGGCTAAGAAGCTGAGCTTGTCGCTCGAAAGGTCGGCAGTTCAGCGGTTCAAATCCCTAGCGCCACGTAACGGGGTGAGCTCCCGTTACTTGTCCCAGCTTCTGCCAACCTCGCAGTTCGAAAGCAGGTAAAAAATGCAAGTAGAAAAATAGGGACCACCTTTGGTGGGAAGGGAACAGCGTTCCGTGTGCCTTTGGCGTTGAGTCATGCCAGCCACATGACCACGGAGATGTCTTCGGACAGCGCTGGCTCTTCAGCTTTGAAATGGAGATGAGCACCGCCCCCTAGAGTCGGGAACGACTAGCACATATGTGCGAGGGGAACCTTTATCTTTACCTTTTACCGCTTCATAATGCTTTACAGCTCTCTCTAAGCAGTTTAGAGTCAGCATATGACCCCCAACAATCTGGCTTCTTCAATTTTACCAACCTCGGAAGGATGGAAGGCTGAGTCAACCTTGAGCCACTCAGAATCGAACTGCCAAACTACTGGCAGGCAGATGAATGCAGGACTGCAGAATTAGCCTGCAGTACTGCATTCTAACCACTCTTTCTCAACCTTGACAAATTTAAGATCTGTGGACTTCAACTCCTGTAATTTCCCAGCCACCACAATTGTACGGCTGGCTGGGGAATCCTGGACGTTGAAGTCCACACTTCTGAAAGCTGCCAAGGTTGAGAAACCCTGGGCTGGAGATAAGAATTATCTTATGGCAGGAAACAAAGGGAGTTAGATTGCTACGGATGGGTAGAAAGCTTCTTACTTCCTTTCAATCTGGGGCAAGTCATACAAACAGAATGGGGTTGGGGGTGGGGAGCAGCAGAGACAGCAGATATGGAAGATATGAATTTTCAAACAAAAGTGCATCAAGTTTAAGATGACTCAGTGCCTGGTATGAACCCAGAAAATGGGTTAATTAAGTTACATGGCCAGAATTTCCCCATAGAGGATATTTCTCAGAGTTCAAAAGCTAGAAGTGTCTACATAATAGGGGTGGCCAGCAGGAGAACAGTATGGACCCCCATCAGATTTCTAATGAATTTCTAATGCAACTTGGGTGTCCTCCTGGATGCTCGGCTATCTTTAGAAGACCATCTAACGGCCGTGACCAGGGGGGCCTTCGCACAGGTTTGCCTGGTGCGCCAGTTGCTCCCTTTCCTGGACCGAGATGACCTTCGCACAGTCACTCATGCCCTGGTTACTTCCCGCTTGGATTACTGCAATTCCCTCTACATGGGCCTGCCCCTGAGATGCACCCGGAGACTCCAGCTGATCCAGAATGCAGCTGGACAGGTTGTTATGGGAGCCCCTCGTTACTCCCATATAACACCCCTCCTGCGTGAGCTGCACTGGTTACCAGTGGTTCTCCGGGTCCGCTTCAAGGTGCTAGTCCTCACCTATAAGGCCCTGCATGACTTAGGTCGGGGATATTTGCATGACCTTCTCCTGCCTGCCTCTCACCGTCCTGTTCGCTCACATAGGGCCGCTCTCCTCAGGGTTCCGACGGCGAGCCAATGTCGCCTTGCTGTGCCCAGGGGTAGGGCGTTCTCTGTGGGTGCTCCCACCCTCTGGAATGAATTATCTACTGAGCTCCGGACGGCTCCTGATCTCCGTTCCTTCCATCGGGACTTGAAGACTTGGCTTTTCAAACAAATAGGCTGAGACTGATTCCGGGCTTTATTATTTACTACTAATTAACTATTTGGATTAAATTATGATTTTATTGTACTTGTTTCTTAACTTGTGTTCGCTGCCCTGAGTCCTTTGGGAGAATGGCGGCATATAAATACATGTAATAAATAAATAAATAATGAACATTAGAATTCCATTTGTGTCCCAAAGTTATATATTCGGACCCTTAGAACCAGGAGTGGGCTCCTGGGGGATTCGAGCAATCCTCTAGCCAAGGATCGCTGGGGTTCAGCAATGTTGTGGTCTGCCAGCAGCCTGCGGAGTCAGACAGCGATGAGGCTGAGGAAGAACAGGGGCCAGTCCTGGAGGTTGGGGAAGGCCTGGATGAGGGCTCTGCATCGGAGGCAGAGATGGGGCCAGGGCCACCGGGGAGTAAGGTGTGGACTCCAGAGCCTCCAGAGACTGATAGGAGTGAGGCAGAGGAACAGGAGGAGCCTGTTCCTAATGCATGCATGAGAAGAGCTGCCAGAAGGCAAGAGCAGCTCAAGCAAAGAAGACAACTCGGGAGTAGGGCCAAGAGATGATTGGCCCCTCCCATTAGGCTTAAAACAGACCAGCAATGGCTTCGCGGCTTTGCCAGAAAACAACGTTCGTAGTTTCGTCTTCTTATTCATCTAGTCTTGTATTTATTTTTGTATCTGTGACTTCTGAACGTTTGCCAAGAAAGGCCTTTGTCAGTTTGCCTAATTGGACCAAGGTTTGCAATAGGACTGAGGAATTTGTGTTGGGAGGAATTTGCTTTAATTTAGTTGAACAATGCTGGGAATGAAGTAATTCTCAGCTGTTTGAATAAAGTTTGTTTGTTTTTTCACTGACTGATTTTCCTACTACTTACTTGGGCCTGGGTCACAACAGGCGAACCCCCAAATGCCACTCCTGACTGGCCATGCCCACCCCACCCATGAGTCTCCACGCGGCCCATTCATCATTCCAAGTAAGCGCAGGGGCTGCGCCGAGGGTCTGGGAGGGCAACAAATGGGCCTACTGGAGGTTCCGGAAGTCTGAAAACGGGCCTGTTTCTGGCCTCCGGAGCCCAGGGAAGCAGTTTTCGCCTTCCCGGAGGCTCGAAGAAAGCCTCTGAAGCCTCGGAAGGGTGAAAAATGCCCCCCACTGTGGTGGAGGTGGCCGACTAGGCCACGCCCATCATGGCCACGCCCACCCAGCAACGGGGCAGTGACCCATTGCTAAAGGATCTGAAACCCACCCCTGGTTAGGATGTTGACCGTAGGGTTGGTCTGCTTACCTTGGATACGATGATGGGCTTTCTGAAGTCTCGTCCTCCCGTAATCCGGAACCCCCAGGGAGCTGGGCCGGTCAGATTCACGCTCACCGACATGGCAGCTCCGCTAGAGGCAAGGTGACCACAGCACCCTGCAGGCCTGAAGGAAGAAAGGAAAGACATAAGAATTGAAAGCTGGAAAATATTTCTATGAAAAGCATGCAATAAAACAGGTGTGTCCAAACTCAATGTCAGCATGTCAAGATGCATTTATCCTAGTGCTGACATAAGAGAGAGAACGCAGGCATCTGCAACGGGACGGTTGCCTTTCACCTACTTATTTCCTCTGGAGGGGGATGGGGGAAATTCTTTGAATTGGAGCAGTAGATTAGGGGTGAATGACTGGGAAGATGGCCAATTAATGCATTGGAGTGGGGGAAGGAAGAGGAGGGGTTTTGGGGCAGCACGTCAGTGCCGGCTGCAACAAGTCGGTGTAAAAAGTGCTGTGCTTAATAAAATGAAAGTTTGTTTTATAAAAGACTTTGTTTGCGATGCAATTTATTTGAAAACAGCCTGAAAACCTGACACTCAATTTCACTGAGGCCAACATAAGGCTGTGGGTTGACCTTGGGGGGGGGACATGGGGGCATGGCTGACCAGGTGGGTGTGGCCAACTGGGTGGGCACGGCCATCTTGATGTCAGTCACTGGGCATGGCCAACTGGATGGGTGTGGCCATCTTGACGCCACTCCCCAAACTGCTGGCCCAATGTTTCCTCTTCGCACTGGGTGGACCAAGTCGAAGCCGCATTGGGTGGACCAGGCTGAAGCCGAATTGGGTGGACCAGGCCGAAGCGACGTGGGCCGGTCCCTTACATTTTCCAGGACAGCCCCATGGGCTGCATCCGACCACATCACGGGCCGGATCCAGTCCACGGGCCTCAAGTTTGACACCCCTGCAATAAAAGAACCAGTCAATCAGGAGAGTTGCCTAGGGAAGATTCAGGCGTATTTATGCCAAAGGAGTTTCTTTTTTTTCCATATGTACAATATGGTACCGTCCATTGCAGGGGTCTCCAACCTTGGCAACTTTAAGGCTTGTGGACTTCAACTCCCAGAATTCCTCAGCCAGCTGGCTGAGGAATTCTGGGAGTTGAAGTCCACAAGCCTTAAAGTTGCCAAGGTTGGGGACCCCTGGTCTATTGGAGTTGGGAAACCATTGGCCCTCCACAATACGTTTTCTCCAAAATCAAAAGACAGCAGAAGCCAGGAGTAGAAGATAGTTTTATTGACAGACGTTACAGATTAATATAGCTTCTAATTCAGTTATACTTCTCACGAGATCAAAGCCCCCACAAAGCGAACCAACTGAGCCAAGAATATCCACCAAAACTGGATCTAGTTTGCAAGTAGGATGAACAAGCTAACCAGAACAACAAAAAAAAAGTTCAAAATCAGATCAATTCTCCCTGCCAGTTTGTTGTATCAAATATTGGAAAAATGCTTTGCAAAAAAAAAAAAAAAAAAACCTCCATTCCACTTATAAATTCTTCATTTTTTTTTTCCTCCCCACCACATTTTTCTCTTCCGCGATACATTAACTCAATGAACAAAATAACTAGGTCTGGTAAAAAAGAAGGAAGCAACGGGCCAAGAGAATTGGAAGAGTTACAGGCAAAGAGCTCTCTCCTTCCTTTAATAAAAAGCAGAAAATTGCTTTTTAATGTTTTTCAAAATGCGCCCAAAATCCTCCGTCCTCCGCAAGTATTAAAATTGTGGGATACAACATACTTTCTAGTTCTAACAATTCAAGAAGAATTCTCCCCCACTCTCCCAACAAAAAGAAAGAAAAAAGAAATCCTTCAGCTGTTTTTTTTCTTTCCTCCCAAAAAATGTTGAGGCAAACTTTTTCGAAAGCATTCTCTAGCCTTTTACACAATAAAACAAGTCCAATCTGTACCCATTTCGCCATCATGAAATTCTGCATTTCCTCCCAAGGAACCGAACCCTTCAATCTCATTCCGTCACGTTCTGCAGACGGTCTGAGACACCCCAAATCCCAGTCTTACCTTTACAATTCCGCCCCCACCCCAAATACCAAGAACCACAGGTGTACCTCTTGAGTACGTAGCTACCGTCTTGCGTACCCTCCTTAGGGTGCCTTTAAAAGGGAACTAGGAAATGAGTTGTATCCTATTAAGCCACATGGTGTGTCAAACATTTGCCTTCCTGTCACAGTTTCGCAACTGTCAATCAATGAGGGCTGCAAGTTCCTTTTTGCTAGCCGCAATCACTCAACCAGGAAACAAGCACGGTGCAAAAAGCAACCCTAATCAGATTTTTTTAAAAAAAACACCCTCGGGACCACACCTTTGTGATGTGGCCTGTCTAGTATTTGCACCGTATCTCACTGGTTCCTGACATATACGGCAGGGGTCTCCAACCTTAAATACTCAAAGAGCCATTTGGACCCGTTTCCCACAGAAAAGAAAACACCGGGAGCCACAAAACCTGGGAGGGCGTGGCCAACTCGATGTCACTCACTTCCAACAGTCACATGACATCCCCCACCTAACCACGCCTACTCAGCTGGTCATTAGGGCAGAGAACCAGTTGTTAAAAAACACTGGGAACCATAAAACCCTTTTGACATATCTCTCACTCCACTCCCTCCCTCCCTCTCTCTTTGTATCTCTCTCTGTCTCTCCCTCTCTCTCCCTCTCTCTGTATCTCTCTGTCTCTGACCTGGCTGCTTCTTTCTCCATCCACCGCTGTCACCCTTACCTTCTCAGGAGGCGGCAAGGAATGACTGGGAGGGGAGGGTGAGGGGCAGGACCAGCAATGGTGGGATCATGGACAGGGAGCCCCAGCAGAGGGCCCAAAGAGCTACATGCGGCTCTGGAGCCGCAGGTTGCCGACCCCTGATATAGGGGCATGAAAGCAAAATCTAAAGCTATTTTGGAAAGGTAAGTCAAGACCCATCCTTGATTTGGAGAAGTGGCGGGTCCAGAATATCTCATTTGGGAACGCTGAAGCCTTATCCAGCCATGGACCAACCTCAGATTTCCTAAAATGGGATCATCTGGATATATTTGTGCTCCTAGAATTCTGGAAAGCAAAACTTTTGAGCGTTCCGGAAATTTTTCTTCCCAAAGTTGGGGAAGGTTGACGTACATAACGTCTTTAGAGAAAGCAGTCCTAATTTTACAGATTGTGAAGCCATAGTTCATTTTAACTAGGTTTACCAAATAAGCCACTGGCTAGCTACCTTGACATGATGTGCTGAATCATCGTAGCCAACCACATTTTGGTTTCACTCCACCCATGAGCGAAGTTCAATATGTATTTTCTGGCAGAAGACACAGAACAATTAAAACTCGGACGACACGTTTTCTGAATAGTTTTTATCCCAGAGCTATCATTGCACTCAACAACGAAGTAAAGGGCCACCATCCGTGAGCTGTTGGACAGCATTACATGGTCTGTTGTGTGGATGTTTGGGTGGTTTAGGGGTGGGGAATTGTGGTGGGTGGGAGTGTGTTTGGGGATTGTTATGTGTGTTGGACCTGGTCTTTGAGTGTTAAGTGAATTTTGTTGTATGGGTATACTGTGTATACACGTACAATGACAATAAAGTTATTATTATTATTATGTCATGAAATACAGAAAACTGGATTGACGTAAACCACGATTGAGTTGTTGAGATAACATATCATGTCGACACAACCATTGAATTCACCCACTGTGCTAAGCCAGTTTCTTTTGACCATGATCTCAACAAACCACAGAAGTCTAGTCCATACATAATGTTTGACTATTATCCTGATTTACAAAACCACAGTGATTGGGTTCAGGCCACATGGTACATACTGAAGCTAAGAAAAAAAAGGAAGAAAAATACTTTTGTAGCTTAGTGTGATATGTGAGTGTTGTCACTATTTCAGCCTAAAAAGCTTTGTAGGGCAGTGTCATCAAATATAAGAGATTAAGAGAGTTGGAAGGGATCTTGTGGCTCATCTAGTCCAACCCCGTCCAAGAAGACCCTACACCATTTTTGACAAATGGCAATCCAGTCTCTTCTTGAAAGCTTCCAATGATGAAGCTCCTACAACTTCCGAAGGCAACTTCTGTTCCATGGGTTGATTGCTCTCACTCTCAGATAATTTTATTTCCAGGTTGAATCTCTCCTTGTTCAGGTTCCATCCATTGTTCCTTGTCTGGCCTTCGGGTGCTCCAATAGCTTGATCCCCTTCCTCCTCTCTGTGGCAGCCTCTCAAATATTGGAAGACTGCCATCATGTCTCCCCTGGTCCTTCTCTTCACTAGACTAGCCAGGCCCAGTTCCTGCAACCGTTCTTCATATGTTTTAGCCTCCAGTCGCCTAATCATCAATATAACAACAATGTACATTGCAGCCTTATGACAAGTTTTGGTATGAGCCAAGTTTCTCAATTTTGGCAACTTTAAGATGCATGGACTTCAATTCCCAGAATTCCCCAAGATTTGTGGACTTCAATTCCCAGCCATAACAACCATGCAGACTGGAACATTCTGGAAATTGAAGTCCACACATCTTAAGATGCGAAGATTGAGAAACGCTGGCTTGGAGATACAGAAAACTTCTCCAACGATGAGTGACAAAAATCTTAGCCAATATATTTTTTCAACATACCATGTGAAGGTTTCATTGACCACAGAAATAAGCAACAGAGCATGCTGTGATGGTTCACCCTGGAATTACGTTTTTGGGTGGATTAAGGAACGCCTACCAACAATTCTTCTGAAATATTATAATGTTTAGCAAATGTGGTAGCTGTTCTGGTCTGCTTCTTTCTCTATATATTATATAGCTATGCACACAAATGATACTTCGTTATTTCAAAAGGAAGTCTAAAAGCCAAAAACAGCAACCACCGACCACTGCCTATCCTTTCTGAACTACAAAACCAGTTAGGAGCATCTGCCTTCTGAAGAGTAAGGTTTAGATAAACCTGCAACTCTAGCCATCCCTTCCCTTCCTCTCCCGTTGTCTGAATCAGGGGTCTCCAATCTTGGCAACTTTGAGACTTGTGGACTTCAACTCCCAGAATTGGAGTTCTTCAAGTCTTAAAGTTGCCAAGGTTGGAGACCCCTGGCCTGAATGATGGTGGTTTATTATCTAA